CCACTGCCTGTGTGAGCCATGCTTTATGTGCCACTCACACACACTTCCCACTAGAGTCAACGTCTCACCTATGTTTCACCAAAAAGATTCCAGAAACTATGACAGTGAAAAAGATCTGCGTCATAGTCATCTTGACATTGTACAGTAGAGGGTGTAAGAAAATATTAAAAAGCTATTGTATCGTGAAAAAATTGTGTTAGTGATATTTATCGATCCCGGATCCCCACTCGTTTTAAATTAGAAGTGTTGGAAACAAAGATGAGGCCTGACGATTTCTGAAACAGGATTTCCCACTTCTCTGGGTGGCGTTGAAACGTAAACAATTTTACTCGGATCTACTAATTTTCGCATGTCGTATTTTTTCTTCTCTCCTGTCTGCGCTTATTTATTGATTTAGATTATTTACATACACCTTTTATACGTTTCAAGTTTCTATATCGGTAACTTCGATGTGAACATCGGTTTGAGGGTGTCCTTCATACTTTCATAGTTCGATACACCACTATTCATATGAAGGATTATACATGTGAAGTATATTGAATTACCCTGGAGCTGTGAGTGTAAGCAGACGACTGTAGGAACACTCCTCACTTCACTCTCTTCATGTGGCAGGCCTGTCAAGCTTCACTGTGTTTTCGGTCTGATTGGATTTCAGCACCTTCCAGCGGAGGCATTGGGTCTTTCTCTCTGAGGTTGTATGACAGACTGCAGGAGCTGATGCGAACGACTGTAATGATGGAAGACATCAGAGCTGTATTTAGAGCCAAGTAAGGAGTAAGGTCAGACGGCAATCCACGCATTTCTCTTAAGAGAATGTTTAGTATCTGCACACTGATTGAGTAACAGCTCAGCTATCTCGCTCTCCTGTCGCTGTTCTACTTCTGTTGCTGCACCAAACACGTCCGGATTCCCAAGAGAACTTGGTTTCCTCTGAAGTCTGATGATGACTGATGCATGAACTAAAATCATGACGGAGTTAAAAACCATGTATGTAAAGTTTTCTTATCTATAAAAAATCATTGTGGATTGAAACTGTATTATGACATTTGTATGAATTTGTAATGTGCATACATTAATCTACAAAGTAAATTAAACAGCCTAATTAAACAGGAGTAATGGAAAAAGATCACAGGCCATTTACCTGAGCTGTGGATTAAGCAGACATGTAGAAATCCTCACTTCACTCTCTTCAGTGTGAGGGCACCCGCCGTCAGTTATATGTTTCTTTTCTGATTGGAGTTGCGAGCAGCTTCCAGGAGGATGGAGGTCTTTCTCTCTGAGACGGTTTATGGACCCAAGACTGCAGGGAGCTGCTGGAAAAGTGGCCCAGTCTTTGGGAATAAGCACTTGAGACAGCCTGTTACTTGAAGTGTTGAGTTAGAAGAATCAAGCGGACAGGGATGTATTAGCGTCGTGTTAAACAGAAAACAGACGAGAGGGAGTGTATTGACTCCCATTGTAAAAGCTCTCCTGCTTGTGTAAGGTGCTGCACTTCAGGACAAATCCAATACAACAGGTTTTCTTCCCTCTCGGAGCCCCAGTTTAGGTGCATTGCTCCTGGTTCCCGGTATCCTGAGACTTGTTGGTAATTCTGAAGTGCTGATACAGAGCTATCAACACAGTGTACCTGTAAAATGTATCAAATGTATTGTCTAACGCACATAATTGTAAAGGAGAAGTTCAATGTATACCACTGTGCTTAACCTTTAGATATTAGCGTAGTTGTGTCCATAGCTCAAACAATCCGCCGTGCCTCGAATCTGGCAATCTACAAGTTACTGGTGCACTTTTTCTGGCTGAAGATTACGTCAGGTTTGTGGTGCATTGCTGCGTTTGGATAGTCCGTATAGCACGCTATACTGAACTGCTGTGTAAGAATTGCTCAAATTACAGCTTCGGTCTCCATTGCTGTCAGAGGACATTTTCGTAAAATTCCCCCAGAATAAAATAAAGTGACTGAACAAGGACCAGCCGGAGAGACGGTCTCTGTTAATTCTTATTTTGTTACTGGCTCTTGTGGGCACATTTCTGTTCCAGTACATTTCTGCCACATTCCAATAATAGTAGGGGCAATTTCGGCTCTCCCTTAAAAGATGTCCTGCAGGTGTTCAGTTCTTGGTGCAACCGTTTGTACAGTTACCTTGATGAACTATATTTCTGCTGAAGTTTATTTCCTCGTCTATACATCTTTCGCCGTGGAGTTACTTCGATTACTTACTCTTTTTTACTTTTTATTTCACAGTTTTGTTTGTTTGTTGGCTCTGCGCTACCGTGCCACACAGCGCAGGCAAGTGGAAGTAAGAGAGACAGGACAGCAGAGAGAGTTTACGTCAGTTTCTGTGACAAAGCCTTGTGAGTAAAGCTGGCACTTCTTTTTAATACAGCAGTTTAAGGCAGATATGGAAGTAAATATATTTGCAGGCGGCATTATATGGCCCCGTCAGTCCAGAACAATCTTGCATGGAGTAACATTTACAATTTTGGCCTGACTTGTTACGCAAGTATCTGTTCTGCGTGGACAGGTGCAGGTGTTTTATAAGCGTTATCCACGGTTCATAGGACTGCTTATGTTTGTCTTGAAGTATTTGAACGCTATTATTACTACCGGTAGGTTATAAAGGGATGGCTATACTATATTAAATACCGTATGTGAAAGATGTATTGTTTGTGGATTTAGTATCAGATTGGCAGATTGTGCGCAAAAGAGCCACTGCATGGTTGGCTGTCAGGGGAGCGTAACCCTCCGGGACCACCATTCAGTCAGCGCTTTCTCTCACATTTTCTGCGTGGTGTAATGTCATGCAGTTAGGACTGAACTGACCTTCGCGACATGCACATCCATGTTGAGGCAATTTATCCTCAGCGCACCACAAGTAAGACAAGATTTCTGAATAAAAAGATTAAAAACCCCTCCAATAGCTCTTTTTGAAACCCAGTGATGAAGTTAGTTATCTGGAAACAGGGCTAAATTTTTCACTATAGCAAGTTTGGCGCGTTCCACCAAAGGGACACAATAGAATCTTTCGACACTCAAGGTGTTTAAAAGGAAAAAATGTTAGCACAGTATGGTGGCAATATCACTCAAACAATGAAAGTTGCTACATGGAGTTGAGCTGAGTGTTCCATGGTAAAGCGCTCTAAGAGGGAATATTGCAGACCTTTTAGGCAAGGAAGGGAGTTGCGTATCCGCAGGTGGGGCAGGCATGTAACTTGAGGTAATCTTGCCGCTGCAATGGAGTCTTTACCTGCTTCTTTCAGACACGCGTCGTTGTATTACCCTCAACTGGAAGGTTGCCAACTGATTTCTTCCACATGGGGTAATCTGATGTAGTCCATCTGCTCTCTCATGAAGAAGGAAAACTCCCACAGCTGCCCGTGGCAGAGGTCAGCACCTATACATTTCACAGAACCTAACAGAGATCATTAGAGTAGCAGCGCAGCAGCGATACGTAGGAAAAACAGCATAACTTCTGATTTCTAACTCAGGAAGTTTTTGCCATGCCTTTTAGGATAATCTTCCTTTCAGGGGTCTTTGGGGTCATTCGTCTATTCCGCTGTCATTCCCTATTACATCTGGATATAATTAACAATTCAGTTTCTTTACACATTAAAAGATAACAACTCAGTTATTTATTAGATGTGTCCTGTTAACGTAAAGCACGTTGAGGTGGCGGTGAGGGGGGGGCAGGTTGCAGCATTGGGACATTGTTGAAACACAACATAGTTGTCTCATTCCTTGCTGCTGACACCATTATGTTCTCGAGGTTCAGAAGAGTTTTCTTTTCTCCCCTTTGTCGATCTGGGGTGACCACATAGGCCACAAGCACGGACGAAGGGTAGGAGCCCGCAGGACCTGCTCCACTGAGATTAGGACGGAGGTAGTCAGTTGATCCATAGGACAGTAGGACGGCATCTGCTTCAGGTCGACGCTGGGACTCACAACAGAACACTTGGCATAAGGGAACAGTTATGTCCACAAAACCCACTGTCGTTGGAGTACAGCCTTTATCTGTCTCCAAAACAGAAATGTGATTTATTCACTGGTTCGTTGAGAGAACCAGTGTGGACTGATCTGAGCGTCCTGAACTGGAAGATTTCAGACACTCATGCAAGAACTCGGCTTGTTCTCGTCAACCAAGTGCGAAATGACAGGGGATCAGGTGTGTCATGTGTTGTCTTTCTCTCAGTGAGGCATTGCTGAGAGAAGCCCTTGAGTTTTATCTGGATTCTGTCAGAAGCCACAGTTGCTGAAAACTGCCTTGCAGTTGTGAGATGTAAGAAGAACGCATACGTTGGTTATTGCCTTATGTGGGGGACTGATTAACGAGTGGGTTTCAGGGAAAGCAAAAAGCACAGGGCTTGTCTTCAGCGGAGAATTCGTCAGAGTTCAAGTCGGTTGTTGCCTTCCAGGTGGATGAAAACCATACCGTCAGCCAGAAAAGATCAGTACCTCTTCCTTCACTTCCTTGTTGTGATTGGAAGGATTCAGGATTCTTTGGTTTTTTGTTTCGTTGCTTCATGGTTGAAGGCAAAAACGAATCGATATGTGATGTAGCATTCGCTGTATACTTGCACGGCTGTGGAGAGTCTTCCTGGTGTCTGTCAGATGAGAAAGCAAGCAGCCCAGCATCAGGCGATCAGTTGGGACATGGCAAAGATTCACACAACTCAACGTTGTCAGAACCTTCTTTTGGGCGTCGCGGAGCATTGGAGGAGAAGTATGTTTTTTATGGTGGCTCACTACAAGGCCTGTCAGCTTCCAGCTCTTGAGAAAGTCCCCAACAGTTTCTCATCTGGTCTTGAAGTCACGATGACTCTTTGTGGATTACGTAGTAGCCTTTTTTATCAAGCCTTTCTTTACACTGAAAAAGGAGAGATCTGTGATTCCATCAAAAATGATTGGTAACATTGTCAGGATTCTTCGTTCTATATTCCTGTAAGAGCTCTTCTTTGCCTTCTCTGGTTCAACTGAATCACATGAAAAGAAGATCCTCTAAGAGTCATAGGCCTTCCTTCGTAATGTCGGATGTTTCTCTCATGTCAAAGTAAAACATGTAATCGAGCTCCTTGTTGTCTCTTTCTGCCCAGAGTCTCAACAGTTCATGACAGAGTGCAGTCTTTCCAATTCCAGGCTTACCAACCAAGAGTATGTTTTTATCTGTTTTCAGCAGGTCACTGGGGGAAATGTCAGGTCTGTCTTTAGGGATGTACGTCTTCATCTTTTTAGGGCGACTCAGCTTCCTTTTCTTGTTCTTTAACTTCTTTATTTTAGATGGAGAATCACCTCCTTGTGTGTCTAATACAAGTGCAGTGTACGACAGATCAGGCTTGTTGTTTCCTTCAAACAGATTTTTGTTTGCCTTCCAAAACTTATTTGATATTTTTTGTGCTTTTGACTTCAACTGTGCCTGATATCGGTGGCACGGCCTTGGGCCTAAAATAAAAAACACAGTGAGTAATAAATATATCACACTATATAAATATTTACAGTGCATTATTACATAAAACATAAAAGATAAGTAATTAAAATGTGACACATTATTAATCTGAATTCTGCTTCTCAATACCTTGTAAGTAGTTTACATCCATCTGTGTGTCTTCTTTGAAAGGATAGCAGCTGATCCAGTGGTGCAGGTCAAACTTCCTGTTCTCAGTAGAAGCTGCACTCTGTTTCTCAGGGAGAACGGATGACCTCTCTAAGGTCCTCTTCCTCGTCATGTCAATAATCCTGAGGAACTTGTAGCAGGCTGCTTCACCCTTTTTAGTGACTGAGTCTAGTATATTTCTGGTTTTATCGTAGTCATCTTTCTCTGCCTGTATTTTACTGACCTCTTCACCTTGGAAAACCTTTTGCTGATACAAGTTCTCCACAATCACTGAGAGATTCTTTAATTCTCTCACAAGGTGGACTCTGGCACTCTCGACGTAATCTCTGGCAGACTGTGTTGTACACGCCATGTGTCCTTACTGCTGTATGCTCTGCACACAGACCCAACTTCAGTGATCTGGAGAACAAAATAACAGCTGGAATAAAACGCTAATTAATGCATGGTATGTTGGGGGAGGCAGGGGGATTACAGAGAAATATTTCTGAATAATGCTACAAAAGTGCTGCTCCTTTTCCCTGTAAACTTACTGTTGGTAGCACCCATCTCTAAACTGCAGTCAAAGTATTTGTATTATTATTATTTTGAGGAGCTTTTTATTTTTTGTGTCTCCCATTTTCTCATTTAGGTTTTGTTTGTAATGTAACTTTTTAACTTCCTTCTATGTAATGTGAGACACATTATATTACATCTTTTGGCATAAAATGTGTTGTTATAAATTGTTTCATTATATTTTAGGACTAACTAAAAAGGGCAGACAAAACATCATTTATACCACATTAAAAGACAATGACAGAGAAACAGGTACAAATGATTTGCGTCGACCACATCGTACAGACAGATGCAGACTATATATCAGAGACACTTACACTGAGGACTCAAAGTCTCCACTGATGATAGACTCCATCAGCTGTTCACTGACATTTTCCTGATCACAAGAGAGAAAAACAAGACTAAATCAATCATCAGATCAATAATGGTTAATGGTAAAGTTAATTATTGCAGAAACCTGTTTGTTGTTATTAACACTAAATTTAGCTATATGAGCGAGATAGGTTGCTAAGCTAGCCACAAGCTTCTCTAATGAATAAGACTAAGTATTATTTTAATTAATCTTGTAACTAAAATAAAAAAACAAAAACAGAAACTGTCGTCAGGAACAAAAGACAAACTAACGTTGCTGGACCGTAAGCATGACCGTTAAATGACCGTTAATCATGGGGTTTAAGGACCGTTGAGGACCGTTAATATTGCCTTGATCTGCCGCCCAATAGAACAAGGTTGTTCAATAAACTTTATTGTTTTGTTCCTTAAAACATCTTTAAACATTAAAGTTGGATAAAAAGTAATTAATACAAACGGAGAAAGTTAAAGTCAGTTAGTTTCGGTGTTAACTGGTTAGTTACAGTTACTTTGTTAACAGCGTTACAATGTTAACTAACATTAAAATAAGTTTAAATACTTAAGAATATATAAGTTACTGTAAAGCACAATAAAGAGTCTTTATTTAACACAAACACCGTGAGCTCCGTCAGTTAACGGTTCCGTTACTGTTTCCGTTAACGTCACCTACCGACTGTGCTCCTTTCAAAATAAAACACGTCCGCCTTCACAGGAAGTGACTAATAGGAGACCAAGAAACAGTTTCGGTCGTGGACTCGGTATCTTCCATGATGTCTGCACAGAGATTAATACTGTTTCATGTAGTTAGAGAACACTTTGGGAAGAGCTGAGATTTTATTGTGGTGAACTCAAATAGTCCTGAATCTGAAACAGTGGATCAGATTAACTTCACCTGACCGACAATCAAACACAGGTCTTCTCTTAAAATGGTCTTTTTATCTACCTTTTAAAATAAATCCCTGTTCTGTTCTTCCTCCGGACTCTTACCTGTGTACCAGAGTTCACTGCATCCACACAGGTCGCAGAGAGTTTCTGATCCCTCAGCGGGTTTCTGTCTGTCGAAGATTGTAGAAATACAACCGAACAGCTTCATGAACGACGGATAAATGCTTTCTCATCTGTCTTACTTTCAGTTTTACTCTTCCTGTATGAAGAGGAGCAGCCACTGACATCCACAAGATGGCCCCATTGGACCAGAAAACTTATTTAATTATAGCAAATCAAATTTCAAACGTACAAAAATTGCAATACATTGTACAAATATGTCAATACAGTGAAAAAATATGATTTTACCACCAACATCAACCACAATAAACAAATACACATAACAAAAGAAAGAGAATATAAAAATTGTAAACTCACATATTAAGTATATAACTTATTATTTTTCTTTTACATAGTCATTTTCCAATTAGTCATTCTAATGGTTTTCTTGATTGTTAATAATTTTGAAACAGAGTCATAGAACACAATGGAGAAATATTTATTTTATATGTATTTATTAATTCATTTAAATGTAATATCTTCATGTGTATGAAATAAAAACTGCATTACTGCACTGATTAAATGTCTTTTATTTCATTAATAGTTATTGTGTCTTGGGTTTTTATACTACACTACTACTATATCAACATGCTACTATATTAATATTAAAAATAAATATATATATTTATTTATATAAATACATTTTATATAGCTTTATATACATTTATAGCGAGGAAACAGCGACATCTACAGGTGTTCCTCTGATAACAACAGCAGGTAAACAACAACAACAACAAC